CGCCACATAAACATAAAACCCTGTCTGCATTTGTGATCAGAGAAACTACAAACTACAAGCGCTACTCTACACTGCCCAAAAAAACTCACTTTAAATATATAAAATATAAAAAATATTTAAATATAAAAAAACGTACTTGCAGTCTGTGAGTCAGAACAGCCGGCATTGTAGTCTACTCTCCCAGGATCAGGACACAGTCCTCCATAAAATGTGCTGCACACATCTGAATATTTGGGTTGAAGTGTTCTGGAACAGTGTTGTAAATACAACTTAAAAGTGTACAATGAAAAGACACAGCGAAATGTATTTTAACAGTAATAAACTGTAAATCAAGTTTACAGCAAGCAAACTGTAGAAAAACAGTGATATATTGGCAAAGCTGCTGCCAGTAGTTTACTGTACAATTACTGTGAAACCACATCGCACTTAATAGAAAAGAATATATGAAGTCAATGAAAGTTGGGGACGCTTGACTGATTGCACAGACACTATTGAAGAGAGCTGAACTGGATGATGACATCCCTGAATCATCAATCAACTGACTTTAGCTGAAAAATGACTCTGTTATTGTCTTCTTACATTATTGACAAACTATTGTCCTGTTTGACACTGTAAAGCTGCTTTGATACAACCAGTATTGTATATAAATGGTCACTTGACCTGACTTTACTTAAAGGAGAGTAAATTTATTACAGTAACATACTGTAAAGTGGCTAAAGAACTGTAAAATTCCAGTAAACTACAGGCAAATGTGCTGCCAGTATTTTACTGTTAATTTACAGGACACTTTTTACTAAACTGTAATTCTATATACAGAAAGAAATACAGTACTTTATAGGTGAAGCTGCTGCCAGTTAATTACTGCCAATTTACAGTCAACAATTTCACAGAGTATTATTATATTTTCAGACAATACAGTCTTGCTTAATTTATTGACAAAATATTTAGATATGGTTACATATAAATCAGAGATAGAAGGGGTAGTGCAGTAGTGAAAGGAACATAGCTTGATGCTGAACATAAAAAAATAAAAAATAAAAAGATATTATCTTTGACCCGAGGTTTGTTTGTGATCATAGCTCAGTGTCAATTACTCAACAATGGGGCCATCAAGTTAGTCATCTAGTCTTGCATTTACTTTTTTATTTTTTATTTTTATTTTTTTGCGAAGGCTCAGGGTCTATGGGGTAGATAAAAGAGCAATGAACAATGTCTGAAATGTCTGAAACATGTCTGAACAATATCTGAAACCTTGTATTACGAGCACTGTGTTTATTTGCTTCTTTATGATGAATCGCTTGTTGTTTTGCTCAACTGACCATATGCACGGTTACTTCCTGGTTTTAGATAAGCCAGCTCAGTCATTTCCGGGTCAACAGTCAAAAAGTGTAAACATGATGCGAATGAATCTGGTAAATTGTGCCGCGATTCATTGCTATGATTGACAGTGATAACGGAACGAAACATCTGACAAGCCGATGTCAAAAATAGAGCTGTGCATTAAGTGATTCAGACTAAATTCAGAGTAACAAAACTACAACAGTAACATAATAGGTATTGTTATTAAATTAGATCTAAAAATATTTCAAAATATGTAATACATTATTTAATTGTTATACCATAATAATTAACTTAATTTGTAGTGAAATATTGAAGTATTTATATAGCCTTACACTTATAGGCTGTTGGTGTCTGGGCTTATTTATTTATTTTCTAATGATATGAGACTTTGTGACTTCCTGCACTTGCTATACCTCATACTTCACTACAGTAAAATTACAAACTTTGTTATAATTTTATAATAAATACAAAAGCAAGACGCGAAGAAAACTAGGCTAATGAGTGATCTTCTGCTGCCATCTACTGGTTATAATGCTAATTTCATGCCATTTTCATCTTAAAAGTCTTTGTTTTCCGCCAGGAGACACATTTTGGCACATTTTTTCAATTTCATGAATGAAAAGTGAATCTTTAAAGTGATTTTTACTGCACAGCTGTAGAGTTGAGAAATAATAAAAGCTCTAAAATATAAGTGTTTTAAAAATGTATTAATGGCTACGAAGGTAAGTTATTGATCATCAAGAATACGATTATGATGTTGTTTAAGAGATAGCATCGCTAGCTAGCTAACGTTCACCTAAACAGTTATGATAGTGTTTAGTTGTCAGCATTTAAATGTACAGTTACATATCTAGGTACAAATTCTCTCTAATTCCATTATCATTTGCATTATTGAATAATAAGAGAGACAGCAAGAACAGAAATAAAGAGAAACACAAGAGCTAGAACTGACTTCAGTCACAGCCTTAGATGAAATCAACTGAAATAAAAGACTTTAAATAAAATTAAAAAGACATTAAATCTCTGAAGATCTCAGCTGAGGAGGATTAACAAACACCACAGACAGCAGCAGCAGCTTCACGTATTGCTAACCAGATTGACTTTATTGAAAACAATACATTCATTTATTGATAATAATAGTTTCATGTGAAGTTAGCATGATGGTGATTAGTGTTTGCTTTAGTTGAGCTCTCAGCCCTTGACAGTACAAATCTTTGTTAATATTTAATAGATAAATTCAACTCTATAGTGTTAGTTTACATTTAGGCCTAATTATTACATTTTTGTACTTCAATACTACAGTTAGACCTTACTTTATTTATCTATGCTTGTGATTAGTATTACTTATTCTTATTTTATTACTGACTGTTCACCACTACTATCTATCCTAAGCATTTGCTTTGTAACATAGCTTTTATATTTGTTTTTCTTCTTCTAATTGTCAGCAGTCAAGAATGCAAAACTCCACAGCCATGCAGGGTTTAGATTCAACCCTAATTAAATGTACCTGATCCATTTAATCAAGGCATTCAGCTTTATTTGGAAACTACAGGTATGGGTGTTGGAACTAAACACTGCAGGGCTGTGGCCCTCCAGTTTTCCACCCATGGTCTAATGGTTGTATCTTGCACTCAGGTCATCAGGGCCAAATGAATGTGGCAGGAGCTCCTTCAGTGTCATCTGTCGGTAAGATCCATCAGATTTTGTCGGATAAACGTTCCACTCCAAGCCAAACTGCAAAACAGATGACATGACCATCCTGTTAACGGACAGTGTTAATGAAATGTGAAAACTTATTTGTGCATTACTCACATTCTAATGCAATTTTGTGTCTTTTTTTTAAGCCACACCTAAAGCCAGACATGCAGGTTTGTCTTTGTAATAATAAACAACACCAATAATTATCAGTTTGCATACTTTTATTTTAAGAAGAACTAACCTCTCTCATGAACTGTCTGCAGACTCCACATGGAAAAATAAACTGATCTTTAAGGTCACTGCAGAAAACACAATTGATACCAGGAAAATTACTCAAAAATATGTTATACTTCAGCCAATATATATATGTGTGTGTATCAAAATACCTGGCAATCGCGATGGCTTTAAAGGAGGTATATCCTTCAGACACAGCTTTTGAGATAGCAGTCCTCTCAGCACACAATCCAGCAGGGTAGCTTGCATTCTCTACATTACAACCTGTTAACAGAACATCACATGGTATATATGTCACGTATTGCCTGTCTGGTTTCCTTTTGTATGGCGGGCCAAACAGTAAATAATTATATGTAAATCTTGAATATATATATACAGTGTTGGGGAAAGTTACTTTTAAAAGTAATGCATTACAATATTGCATTACTCCATAAAAAAATAACTAATTGCGTTACTTAGTTACTTTTTTATGGAAAGTAATGCGTTATGTTGCTTTTGCGTTACTTTTTAAATCTGGACAGGGCTTGCTTGTTTGTTTTGAAAATAAAAAAGTTCTATTTTTGGCAAATATAAAAGCCTTTTCACAGCAAAAGTGAAATGAATAAGCCTCAGGCTGAAGGGAAAGTACATTTACATCCGTACAGTAGAATACAGAAGAAGACATTTCAATTACTTATTTGAAAAAGTAACTCAGATCTTCTCTTGTAAATTAAAAAGTAATGCGTTACTTTACTAGTTACTTGAAAAAAGTAATCTGATTACGTAACTCACGATACTTGTAATATATTACCCCCAACACTGTATATATATATATATATATAGATGGTAAAACGGGGCTAAAGGCACTCCGGGGTAAAAGGCGCCTTTGACATTATTTTCATCTAAACCACTAGACGGCACAAAAACATGGCGTAGCACTTTCCAACACATCCGCTTTTCAAGATGCACGTGCAGGGGCGTAGCAGCCGGGTGGGACGGGGGTGACACGTCCCCCGCACTGTTAGAAAAAGGTGATTCTGTCCCCGGCACTATTTCCACCCGCGTTCTCTGATTTCTTACTTAGACTTGAGTGAATTAACATTCAGCCAATCACAAGGCGAGTCATCTCTTGGGCGCGTCTGCCATGAGCTTCAAATCTCTACACACACTTTTAAAATGGCTGCTACGCCCCTGTGCACCTGTATATTTGTCTGATCCTTGACGCAATCGCGTGCAGTTGATTCTGTGCTTACTTGATCTAATATTTTATGTTGTTGTTGTTTTTTTTTAAATGTTGTAGATTTAAGTAGCAAATGAGAATCGCTAAAATTAATGCATATATTTTGAGACAAAGGTCTTCTTTATGATTTTCTTCTTTATGAGTTTTTAAATAAGGAAAGAATATGTAAAAGTATGGTATTTGGGGTAAAAAGCACCTCTGTTGCCGGGGCTAAAGGCACACAGTAATTAACATGATAATTAATAGATGGCTGACTTCTCCATTTGTTGGCATTCAGAAGGTAAATATCATATATTATGTTGGGTGTCCATATTAGAGATAATCACCATGTTTAGAATGAAACCTTCATATTTAAAAACATGATATTAATCATATCATATAATAAAATATTATTTGTTGTTACTACTGTAAATATATATTCAATTATTATTGGATCTCCTTCAATACTTTCAGAATCTTTAATCATTAAAATGATTTTGTTTATGTATTTTAAAATATATCTTATTATATTAACATATTTTAATGACAGCATATTTATTGAAAAAAATATATATTTTTCAAAATAAGCAGAACATAGTACACACTTTGCTAAAGTGATTGTTTTGGACAAGTATTAACAGACATTATTTAAAAAAATATATATTTTTGTTATAAAAAAAAGTATTTGTATCAATACCGTGTGTGGGGTAAAAGGCCCCTCTTGCCACCTCATACATTTATAATATTTTAAAACAAAATAAACAACTTGAATTATTTATTTTCACACACAATATGTTGCTCCATTAATGTTCAATACAACGTATATATTTATTCTGCAATTATGCATTTTAGGTGCAGTGAATGAACATTTTTTTCTTAAGGTGGGCCTTTAGCCCTGTTGTACCCTATATATAGTTACATTTGCATGAGTTTAGCACATTATAACTTATAATAATAATAATTATTATTATAACTTATGGGAAAATCCTGAATATATAAATATATAGTCTGACTTATAACTATATATTCAGTATTTACATTTATATATTCCGAGTTATAACTAATATAAATATATATATATAGTACAGTGTTGTAATGGGAAGATATAGTTGCAGCATAAATAAATATAAACACTACTGACTATTGTTGAAGAGTTTAGAGTCAGTATAATTTTTCCTGAAAGAAAGTAATGCTTTTATTCAGCAAGCATGCATTGAACTGATCAAAAGTGGCACTTATAAGACATTTATAATGATCAAAACAATTTCTATTTCAATTAAATGAAAAACATGTCTTTTCAACATTGATGATAATCAGAAATGTTTCTCGAGCAGCAAATCAGCATATTAGAATGATTTCTGAAGATCATGCGACGCTGAAGATTCAGCTTTGATCACAGCAATAAATTATGTTCAAAAATATATGAAAATAATCTAATAGTGTGTAAATTATTTTATTTTTACTGTTTTTTCCAGCATTTTTAGCAAATAATTTGAGTGAGCATAAGAGACTTTCAAAACATTAAAACATTTGAATGGTATAAAAACAATCTATAACAACACTGAACTTTTAGAAATGTTTAAGACTGTCCTCACCAGTGAACACGGCTCCATCACTTGCTAAGACAGCTGCTCCAACCCTGAAGTTGCTGTACGGACAGTAAGCCTGATTTCTGGCTTCCTGAGATTTCTGAACAAGTGAACAAATGACATCCTCATCAGAGTGAGCACCGACAGGCCCAGGGCTCGACATTTTGCAGCAAACGTCACTTAAATTGTCACTCTGCTGCAGAAGGCTTCTTCTTTGTCTTCTCTTGTTTGGAGTCAAGCAAGGAGCAAAATTCTGATGATAAGCCATTCAGCGCTGTCCTATATAGGCAGGTGGCCCTGCCCATTTTGACAGGCTGGAATGCCATTTGTCCATGCAGGTGTACAGACATGATTTAATCAGGCTTCAGCTTATGGAGACATTGTTTTATTATTATTATTATTCTTTCAGAGCAAAAACATGCATTTTAATCACTAAACACTTTCAATCTAGATTAAGCAGACAATTTGGCACTAAATAACTACATAACTTAAATAAACTTGTAAAACTTTGGTGTTCAGAGAAACAGTCGGGTCAGTAGGTTTGTAATTCTCTACTACAGCTTTCCATATTTTCTTCAGCTCTTCCTGAATTTTCAGATTTGAGAGGGTTAGTCGGATTTGTAGGGTTAATTAAACAGTCCAACCTTTGAGATGTTTTTCTCAGTCAGTCGATCTTCTCTCACACACTTTGGCAGTTTTCTTCTGACGATCTTGTCCAGGATGTTTCTGGCTGGGAAGATCAATCCACCAGCCAAGAACGGTGAACGAAAATGTTCTGGGAAGTGATTTTGTGCCTCTCTGTGATTGTACCACGAGGCGTCGCTCCACAAACAGTGTTACCATGGTGCAAATTAATGAAATAAAATCATCCCAAAGTAAATATATTTTCATGTCAGTGTAGTTGGAGTTCTCATACAACACCCAGGTCCCACTCTCTACACAGATGGAAAAATACCAAATGTCCAAGACCAACGTTGGCCACTCCTAGTATGGAGTGTGATTTGGGACACAGTCTTTGAACGATTTTCACAAATAGTTTGCGTAACTCACTGGGTTTTACAGTGAATACTAAAAAAAGTTATAATACAAGCAGTAATATGAGGAACATCCATAAACAGAGGAAGTATAAGAGTAATGCCCAACGCCCACTAAACAAATCCTTATGCTGTTCTCTCTCACGCCCCATTCACACGGGGCGTCAGCATTAACGCTTGACGGAGGGCGTTTCTGATGCTTGCATTGCTGCTTGAAAAGTTGAAAAGTTTTCAACTTTTGCCGCGAGCAACGGACCCAACGCAACGGACACACAATTCATTTCACCAACGCTTGACGTCACTCCATTCAAAGTAAACAAGAGACGTTGACGCCGACGCCCCGTGTGAATGGGGCGTTAACCTCTGCCCTTGACCTGATATGGGTTATGTTCTGGAACATTAGATGAATGAAAACAATTGGAAACACACAAATATATGCTGAGCCTGCATATGCACATGTACATACAGTATGAACACACATCCATTAAGAGAGGGTAAACCCAGCAGGCCATACCTCAGGCATCATTGTGCCACATCTTGAAGCACTCACGGGCTTCTTTCACCTTTTCTTCTGGGCCTTTATAGTACACTCTAAACAGCCTTTCATAAAATGTCTTTGGCAGGAACATCTGTGATTACAAGAATTGTCCAAAATTATGCATATTAACGAATCACGAATCTACTACATACTATGCAATACAATTATTTGTTTGTAATGCTAATCGGTAACTGAATATATATTTTTAATATTTCAAAGTGAAATGGGTACCTGATCAGTCCTCAGGAAGACTTTGTTGGAATCATGCTTGCTGTAGAAATAGACATTGTTCATGGGGTTTTTATCCTTCATGCTGTGATCTATGTGAACCTCCTGGATGAGAGGACATTTCCAATTAAATTATTTCAGAGATACGTTAAACCGAAGAGATCAACAGATGCCAAAAAAATAATTTTAAACATACATCAACCACAAAATCCGTAACCTCCAGGTTTATCGACTGCACTGCCGTTGTCCACTGATCCTTTATCTTTATGAAGGTTCGAGAAAATCAACAGTCAGATATAACACATGCACAAAATAAACAGCATGGATAATGTTTTCAGCTTGTAGACAACCACCTTAATATCAGTAGTATCTGGTATTATGATTTGTATTTCAGTATAAGCTACAAACTGAAAACAATGTTGCAATAAAGGAAATATAAGCTGCTAAGATTATTTTAGCTGTGCACTGTCAAATACCTCTGAAAAGTTTTTCGTCCCCAGTTTAGCCTCTCCCAGAAACTTTGGCAGGTCCCTTTTGAGAATTTTATTCACCTTTTCTCTGGCATCCTCAAGTTTTTTTTCTGCAGCTTTCTCTGCAGCGGTTTTACTCATCTTATTGTGATCAAAACCAGGGTACACAATTTTCTCAAGAATATGATCTGTTAAAAAAGGGCATAACATAACTATTTCTCTTTCGCAGGGTAGTTTTCATTTTCTTTCAGTCCCATACACAAGCTTTCCACTGACCTGTGAGTTTTGTGTATTCTTCCATGTTGTCTTTTGCTTTAGAGATCTGGAAATAGCTATCAGCTTCCACAAGGGCTTCTTTAATCCTAATATGCAAAGAAAAACAAGTATGTATATATTTATTCATATGCACTGTGTATATTATATATTAAATAACAAAGCATGATGAATGTAGTGTACTTAATTAGCCAATACCTAGTCATCGTATGTCTCAACAAGAGACAAAAATATACAGGCAACAGACAATAACGAAATTAATATATAGTTTGTGGGATAATATAGGCCTACAGTCTGCCAGCAAAATAAGGCAGCGGCTATTTACAGTTGGGGGAGGAGAGAGAGAGAGAGAGAGAGAGAGAGAGCGAGAGAGCGAGAGAGCGCGAGTGAGTGAGTGAGTGAGTGAGTGAGTGATTGAGGGAGGGAGGGAGGGAGGGAGAGAGAGAGAGAGA